TTTCTCACTTCAATAATGTTATGGGTTGAAAAACCAAGCTTAGAGTCTAAATTCTAAGTATTTTACTGATAAACAGCACATTGAAAATACTCTACAACAGTGTAAAGAGATTTGCCCCAGTAAAACACAATGATACAAGTTAGAAGAAATATAAGCTCCTTGCAGTTATAGAACTACAACTTCCTTTCAATAACAAAGACATGGTGGGACAGCCTGATAGCTGGAGTGCTGCAAAGGATGAATGCAACAAGCTCTTCAGGAAAGGTGGGAGAATACCCTTTTTATATGTAGGAGCAGCTCAGAGGTGTAGAGGAGCACTTCCATTGGACAGACAAGAGGCCCTTTGAGAGCTTGTGAATCAGGGTCAAAGTTTGTTACAGATAACACACTTAAGGAAAAGGGCAAAGTATTCTTAAAGCAGTTCTCTGCAGGCTCCGTCACAGACCCTGGTTCTTACAGGGCACCTTACCATCACCCACCACCACCCCTCCCATCTTATAGAAACACATGGGGGGGCTTACACATAGCTGGGTCTGCTAATCACTAGCAAGAATTGGTATGGGATGTGGACAAAAAGATATAGTAGCTTTGGCTGTAGCAGTCATGAAGTAGTGGAACTCAAGATCCTAGGGAAGTGAGGAAAGCAAGTACTGGAGTATAGACTGTGACCTTAGGAGAGCAGATTTCAGCTTATTCAGTGAATGGGAGCACACGTGAGAAAGTTCTATAAGCAGAGATACCTAAAAAGATGGGAGGAGTGGGCTGGCAGAAACCATAATAATTTCAACATGACATGAAAAGACTGGAAAGGCGTAACCTCTTGCAGTGATACAGGCTGGAGAGCAGTCCTGTGTAAAAGAACCTGGGAGTCCTGATGCATGATCAGCAAGCTAACTGTGAGCCAGGAGTGTGCCTTGGCAGCAAAGACAGCCAACAGTATCCTTGGCTGCATCAACAGTAGTGTAGCCAGTAGTCTGAGGAATGTGATTATGCCTCTCTAATCAGCACTCGTTGGACCAAATTTAAAATACTGCATCCAGTTTTGGGCCCCCCAGTCCAGGAAAGACACTGATGAACTGGAGCAAGTTCAACAGAGGGCTGCCAAGATGGTTGGGGCAGCATGCCCTCTGAGAGGCAGCTAAGGGAACAGCTTGTTCAACCAGGAGAAGAGAAGGCTTCAGGGGGATCTACTAACAGCTTTCCAATATCTACAAGGAAGTAAGCAAGAAGATGGAGTCAGGCTCCTCATGTTGGCAGTTAGTGGAAGGAAAAGAAGCAAGAGAGGTCCCAACCTGATATAATTAAAAAAAAAAAAAAGCTTTTCATCATGAGGACACTCAAGTAGTGGAACAGGATGCCAAGAAAAAGATTGAAAACCTCCAAGGATAGAGACTGCACAAAGCTTGACTGGATAAAGCCCTCATTAACCTAGGCTGACTCCATAACTGACTCTACTTTGAGCAGAATGTTGGACCAAAAACTTCCTTATGTTCCTTCCAGCCTGAATTATTCTATGATCCTAAGTTTACGGAGGGCTATAGATACTGTTTTGTACATGCTTGCACAACTTTCCGGCAACTTTTAGAACACAAAACGCCAGGGCTACATGAACACTATCCAATTAACTCAAACAGTCAGCACAAGACCAGATACAGACTCATATGCTTTCTCTCCCAAAATACTACCGCATCTCCAGATGTAATCACAGCTTCTCAAACACAACGCAAAAGATTAATACCATTTTCCCTGTCAAGGGAAAGCTCAATGCACTTATCCACATGCATGATCAAGTCAGACGTATAAATTGTACAACTGACTGTGGAAGACTGCTCGTAGACCTGAAACGAAGACCCAGGCCACAGCATCACGCTAGTTCGAGTGTGTTGAACGGAACAATCCAGCTAACGTCACATTTAAACAGCTCCTAATGTGAGCTGTGCAATAGTGTCACCTAGTGGTCACCGCTCACAGCGGAGTAAGGGCCCAGCTCAAGAACATTTACTGCCTATCTACCAACTTTGCTACTCCACCAAATCAGCAGGGACTTTTAAAGTACAGATGCATAAACACACGAATTTATATGAACCAGAAAGTGCAGTTACCAATAAGGCAAATGCCTTTCCAACCGTTTGCGTTTAAATCACACGCACACCTTTCACACACTTGAAAAGAGTCTTTCCAGAAACAGAATCAGTTCTTTCTAGATGCAAGAAGCATTGTCTGGCCTTAAAGAACGGGATGTCCAGAATGATGGATTAGTACTGCACATTTTCACTTATACCAATAGAAAAGAGTTTCCAGATCCTTAGGTTTATAGTAATCATCCACTTCACTGACAAATACAACATTGGTGTTTCTTATCAAGAAACAGTCCCACAAAGCAGAACATACAAGCTCTCTATTTACTGCATAAATATTGTCCAAGTCTTAGAAGTACAAAATCTGTAAATAGTTTGTGTCAGAAGTTTTACAGAATCCCCAGATTGTCAAGAATCTGTAGCATGAACATTCTTTAGAGTTTAGTGATTTCTTCTAATCTTGGATAGCTGAAGAACGCAAAGAGGCAAACTTGAACTATTTCAAAATACCACCAAGTTGTAAGAATGCTCATTCTGCTCATTGAATACACCATGAAACTACCAAATTCATTATATCTTTCCATTTCTCCTGCTATCATGTCTGCTTCCACTTAGTGCCATTTTTGAATCAAACAATCATAGTTTCATTAAATTTCCACTGTTTGACAGGCTTTCTCATCTACTGTTGACTTTCTTAGCTAAATGACTTGGGGATGAGGGACACATTTTTGTTTTTCTCCATAGGTTGAACAGATGTTTGGCTGCACCTTATCTCCTACTATGTTCAAGATACTCTTAAGGACATTCCATCCTTGCCCAACATCTTCAATTCAGCTTCTAGGTTTCCAAAGCAAAGGAACTTGACTCAATCACGTGAAGAAAGCCTCTTTTCAACTTGTGTTCCACAGTGAACAGCTATTTATTTGGATACTTTGTATTTTATGCAAGTTCAAGTTTCATAAGCTCTTTGCTGTAATAAGCTGAAACTGAAACAACAAACTTCTAATCCTTAAGTAAACAACCAAAAATACTGCATTTTTCTTGTGGCATAGCAAATACTGAGACCTGCAGCTGGGCTGATCTCTAGATCAGAGGAACAGCAATGCCACAGATATTGTTGTCCAGTTTGCTCTTAGATTTGTCAGCAGGCTTCTGAAGACTATGTAACTGAAACTCTTTCTGCATTGTTCTTCTTTTTTCTCCCCTCTGCTCTTTAGACTGCAATACTGACAGAAGTAGAGAAATTTCCTGCCTAAAACTGGAATTCACAATGACTGTCACATCACAAGCAGGCATACAGAAATCCCTCCCTCGTATGGCTTACCAAACACTTAAAAAAAAAAAAACTATCTTTTTGTTCTCAGATGTTGTGACCCTTACAGTTTCTAAGCTGTATACTAGTCCTGTATTTGAGAACTTCAGCATACTAATGAAGACTCTTTCAAAGACAGACAACTGTTTTTCTTTTTATATTTCTATAAGCACTGAGCTACTATATAGATACATGTAGAAAAACAATAGTAGAATTTTACATTACAAAGTTGTAAAGCCTATACAGAGTATAAGAGATACTAGAAATACTACTATACATATAGCTTTCATTCTTGGGTAGTGATGCAACCAACGACACCTACACGTATACATGCAACCTAATGAACATGCCAGAATCCGACATTAAATTTACATCCCAGAATAAATGGGATAGCAAGTACAGCAGAGAAAGCAAAAGAATAAATAGCTGAATGCTGAACGCTCAAAAGAATTTCCAAGCTCTAGAGAATTCTCCCAATTAGAAATTCATAGCATTTCTCAAGTCTTAAACAGAGGGGTAATTAACATGTAGCAACTTTTGTTACTCTTTGCTGAACTATATATACCTAAAAAGTGGTCTTTCCACTCTAAACAGTAAGTTCATGCACATAAATGTTTTCCCATTTCTCATTTTGATCGATGTACAGTGCCAGACATGATTTAAATAAAGAATAAAAAGCATACATTAGATGTTGGGTCAAAAGTTTTCCTTAATCACCAGCACAGACAGCATGTCTCTGGCATCCAGTATGTTGAAGTGAAACACCAAAGAAGCAGAATTAAAAAGTAAAGCAAAAACTGCAAAACAACTTTAGAAATAATTCCCACTTCCAGCTTCAATGCAATCTGAACAGTAATTTAAATAACGCTTATGGTTTGCTTAAAACATTTTGTTTTCAAGTGCGTGGATTAGATGATTTGCTAAAGTTTCGTATAGAAAAATTACTAGTTATAAACAAAAGTTTTACTAACTTCTATAATGCTTAAGAAAATTGCTTTTCTCCCTCTACTAATGCTAGCACTTACCCATTCAAATTCTCATGCTACACTTACACCTCTAATTGATCTCATGTTTATAAGCCTGCCCAAAAGACTAGTTTCAGTTCTTCAAAAATATTCAAAATCAGTGACTTCACCAGAGCCATCCAGAGAAACAATTCTTGTACTTTTCTTATATAGTTAAGAAAAGAAAGGCCAAATAACCAGTGTCAACATCTGTCAGCAACAATAAAGACCCCTTTATATAACAGTATAGACAATGCAATGACCAAAAGGAACTCATTAATGAGCAAGAAGTAAAGCACATATCAGTTTATGTACTTACCATACCCACAAAACTAAAACTTCAGAAGTTTATTTACAACTAGGAAACTAACCAAATTAGCCATACACACATTACTTCGATAAAAATCGAATACAAAGAATAACCTCAAATCCATAAACTTACCTCTTTTTTTAAAATATTTTCCTTTTCTAATAAAGCTTAATTCTTAAACATTTATTCAATCAGTAAATTAACATATTTTCCTTCAGTTCTCCTCCTTGAGACACATACACAATGAAAAAAGAGAGGTGGTCAATAAGAAAAAAATGTAACAGAAATTCTATTACCTTGGATTTAAGATTTCACCAACAACTTCTTGCAGCTTGTCAATAAAATTAACAAGGTTTGAAAGCCCTTTAACATGGACTTTTAAAGGATCAAATAATGAAGATGCACAGCCTCGTCCTCCAAGTTCTACAGTTCTGATAAATGATGTTGCCATCTATTAGGAGAAATATTTGGGAATATGAAACTATAGACATACACAAAATGTACACATGTCTAATAGAGCCTGTCCTACAGATCTGCAAACAGTGTACAACAGCTGGTTCATAGCAGAAATAATTTAACCGAAATCAATAGAATACCTCTTAAAGGCAAGCTTTGTACATATTACCATAAATATTTGCAAGGCCAATAATTAAACAGTGAAGCAATATTTAAAAAAAAAAAAAACACACCAACAACATAAGCCAAAACGAAAGACCCAGCTAATTTGATATTTACATTGGTCTTTTGACAGCTTAGAAAAAGTTTTATTAACACAGTTTATAGAATTTTTGTTGTTATTGCTGTTGTTTAAATGTTCATGTTGACCTCACAAAAGTTAGTTGTTATATTCAGAGGGCTGCCTATGACCCAGGAACAACTTCAGCATACACATGTAAAAGTTGACTTCAATAGTATATTTCTTTTCAGAGGTGCAAGTAAAAATAATGCATACTCAAAGCTTCTGAAAAATTATGACAGTTAAGGCTGCTGTCATCACAGGTACCCAATTCTGAAAGTTTCTGTATATTTCTATATGCTATAAAGACACTGAAAACAAGGTAAGTCCCCAAAGCAGCATGCCTTAAAGGAAAACCCCTCAACTTAAGACAACAGTCAGAATAAAAGGCTTAGGAATTCTCCAGAAAGGTGAAAGTAAAGATAACACACTTGACAGAGATGCAGTAATATTAATTCTACATATAAATTTTCATTTCACACTATACAGCTAAATCATAAAACTCTTAAGACTGGAAAGACTACAACTGGAATTACTCTAGCAAAGAGTAAACCTGCCACTATTCCTGCCTTTGTTCTAAAGACTTCCTGTGGATCAAGTACAGTTCATAGGACCTTGGCTTCCCAATGGAAAAATATTCTGGTTTTGCAAAATTTCTACAAGACACAGATGCCAGAAAAGAAGACTTCTTCACATGGTAGAAAAGTTTCCTCTCTGGCATCTGTGCCTTTAAGAATTAAACGAGCGGGAATGTCCCATATAAATCACATCTTGAAGAGTGCCTCAAGACTGATCAAGCTGCGAATGACTGGAAAGCATTACCCGCCTCAAATTCTGAGTCAAAGCTGAAAAAATGGCAATACTGCCCTTTCAAATTTTGGCCTCTGATCTAGTATACATGTCAAAAGAAGGTTTTGTCACCAGGTTGACCTAGGAAGAGCAATTTGTACACAGAAATAGTTTATGTTCCAGATGTCTCAAGGTTAACAAATGCAGAAAAATGCCGGTTTACTATTTAATTGAAATACTTACAGAACTTTAAAACTGCAACACATTGTAATGGATTGTTAGTGGCTTGGATTTCTTAATATTCATACTGCTTTGTGATATTTATTTAACCAAGCCTCATTGCTGTATTGGGTTTGTGTGGCAAGGGTAGTTTTTTTGGAGAGGGGAGGCTACAGAGATGAGTTCTATGAGAAGCTGCTAGGAACTTCCCCTATGTCCAACAGAGCAAATGGCAGCTGGCTCCAAGATGGACCCACCACTGGCCAAGGCCAAGCCCATAAGTGGCAGTGGTAGCACTTCCGTGATAACATATTTAAGAAGGGGAAAAACCTGCTGTGTAGCAGTAGCCAGGAAATAGGATTGAGAGTGTGTGAGATAAACAACTCTGCAGACACCCAGGTCAGTGAAGATGGAGAGGGAATCCAATGCTCCATGTGCTGGAACAGAGATTCCCCTGTAGCCCATGATGCAGACTATGCTGAAGCAGGCTGCTCCCTGCAGCCCATGGAGGTTAACATTGGAGCAGGTATCCACCCACAGACCATGATGCACTCCACACCAGAGCAGGTGGATGCCCAAAAGGAGGCTGTGATCCCATGGGAAGCCCATGATGGAGCAGGCTTCTGGGAGGACCTGTGAACCCCTGGAGAAAGGTGCCCATGCTAGAGCACATTGCTAGCAGAACTTGTGACCCCATGGGGGACCACTACAAAGCAGTCTGTTCCTGCAAGACTACACTCCATTAAAGGGCCCACACTGGAGTGGCTCATGAAGAACTGCAGCCCATGGGAAGGACTCAAACTGGAGAAGTTCATGGAGGACTGTCTCTCCGGGAAGGGAGCCGACACTGGAGCA